CTGCGTTCGCGTCTGTTCTCCGGGTTGTTCGGGGAAGGTTTCGGGAGGTCTCATCCGAAAACGCCTCCCCAAAGCCCCGTGCTCGTTTCGTAGAGCTGCGCCACGTCGCTCGGGGTGAAGGTTCGTCCGTGGCGCCCGTCCGCGGGGTGAGGTGCGGGCGGGGAGCGGGATGGACCTGGCCGTGAGGGAGCGGCTCTTGGCCGCAGAGAGCCGCCGAGGTAAGAGGGTGTCGGACGGTTGCGGGGTTTTGCCCGTCTGTAAAAACCAGTAAAATGAAAATGGCACTTTAAACACGAAAATTGCTTGATCTTAATCTGTTTCTAAATATATAGAAAACGTATTCTTCCTCGGAATGCTTTAAGTGTGCTTCTTAGCTATGAAAAGAAGTAACTGCTACAGTGTTCTTAATTTAGTCTAGTTTTCTTCCCGTCAAGTTTACTTCATACAGCAGGTTTAAGGATCGAATCTCGAATTTCTGTGCCAACAGGAGGAGTACTGCTGAGTTCAGGGAAGCGTGAATCAGGCCTTCGCAGAAGTTCGCTTTCTTGTGTGGTAGCGTTAGTGATTTTAAATTGCAAGAGGGTTGTTAATGCTTCATCTTACAGCTGTGGCTGACTTTGAACAACATTTGTTGGACGTTATTTTCCTTAAAAATAATTTAATTCTGTGAAGCAGAAACAGGATGCCATATAGTTGATTTGAAAAAATGTGATCATATCTGTCAGTCCACCTTGAAGCATAAATTATGTACATTCTGTATTCCTTTTTTATTTCAGATGTTCAGGCTTTGAAGAATGCTTATGAGTTGATCAAATCATCCAGTCAAGGAAAATTGGCACTTGACTCATCAGATAACTTCAGCACCGACTTATATGTTTTATGTGCTGAACAAGCATTTCAGGTTTGTAATTTAGGCAGTTTATTGAATAAAAACACTTATATGGCATACTGTATTTACAGTTGTTAAAGTTACTACTTAAAAATATTCCCAGAAGTGTCTGTAGAAAGTATTATACTCTACTATTTTTGGTGAGTAATTGTTTAAACATGCATTTTTAGTTAAAACTAGGCCTCTGAATTATCACTTCTTTATAATCAGTCAACAAACTGTGGTTTGTGAAGTTTGCAGTTAGACCAAAATATGCAAGGTATGCCATATGAATATAAAATAGTTTGCCATGCCTTCTTTTTCTTGTTATGGAAAACTAATGTAAGCAATTTGGTTATGACTGAAGAAAATGCATTTGTGAACAGTCCCTACTGGGCAAATGAAGAAAAGGTGACATTCTAGTTTTGAAAAGTTGTTGCTAAGTGAGCTGACCTCTATAAAATGTGGTAGAGATTCTTCACTTTGAAGTATTTTTAAATTTTCAATCCGTGGGTACAAGTGATTTGATTTCAAGCAGACAGTTTCTAATAAACCAATTTTTTTTCTAAGCTGCAAGCCACTCAAATTCTATCTGTTGTCTGAAACGTGAGGTGCAGCGCTGACATCCGTACAGAAACCTGCAGGCTAATATCTGTCCTTTTAAAAAAAAAAAATCTACTAAGAATTTTGCCTTTATGTTAACAATTCTGTTAATGGCTATTAAAAAAAGGAAACGTTGTTTGTATACTGTAAGGGGTTCTATGGCTGACTCAGGAGCATTGTTAAATAAAGGAGCTCTTTTCCTATACATTTGGAATCACAAAAGTCTAGCTTTAAAATTTAATAAATCTTAATGGGTTTGTACCAGATCTGATACGCAGCTTTATGGAATATTGTTTGCATACTGATAATGCAGTTACATGTTACACTTTGAGTAGGCATGAATTTTTAAAACCTAACAATTCTTACTTAGTTATTTGTTGCATTTTTTTAAATATTAAAACGCTTTTTTTGGTCTTAGCTGGGATATCTGGAAATGAGCAGTGACTGTCTACAGATGTTTTTTAAAGGAAGATTTCCTGTGAACCAGTTTCTTGGCAGAGCATATTTGTGCCAAGGCCAGTTGCACACTCCACTCTCCACAGATAATTTGGTGAGAAGTTCTGAAGGTTGCATTATATTAAGCCAGGTTTTAAGAGTATTTCTTCCTAGGTTTTTATGTATTGCTTTCAGTCATTTAAAATACATAAGGATATTCAGGACTGTGGGAAAAAAATCAAAGGAAAATACATTAGCAGGTAGTTTGTGAGTAAACAAAACTTACCAGCTGAATTAGAGTAAAACTGCAAATACTTTGGGGAGGACACAAAATAACGCCACAAAATTTTTCAGATGATTGAATGTTTTAAAGTCAACTTTTTCACTTTTGACATCAATACAATACTTTCATACCAAATTTAGGTGTAACTGGTAACCAGTTTTACTCAGGATCACACTAAGCATTTCACAGAATCATGGGAAATGGAGGAGTAAAGGGGCCCGCAGAGAGGTTGTACAGTAGCAGTGTGCTTCCACCACTGTTCAGTAACTACAGCCATGTAGTACTTTGGATGTGGCTTTTTGAAATGAGAGATGTTTTCTGGTAGCAACTCAGCAGGATGCTTCTGCTTCTAAAAGCTTCGGTGCTATAATATTTAGTGATACTGTGTCCATACACGATGAGCAGTTC